GGTTGGTAAATAATTACATGCACGTAAACACCAACTTCCAATAATAAAGACAATTATACAAATCGTTGTTAAACAACGAATCGGATATTGTTGAAGATGAACTTTAATAAGAAAGATGTAATCAATTGATACTTTATTAAAACAACTAATAGATCGTGATGATGTATCAAGAAATAAATTAGAATGAAACATAATAAAACGACATAATAAATAAACACGAGCAAACACTATCAATATATTTAGGTTTAAATTTGATAAATAGAAACAAAACATTGATACTTACTTGGTAAACCAAGTGCAACATCAATATCTATATGAGACAATGTATAAGGAGTAGATGTGGATGAATTCGGATCTCGATTTTTTAATAATGCTTTCAAATAATGAGGAATAGAGCGAGGTATAGGATGTATAGCACAAATCAATACTTCAAGCAGAATTAAAAATATTTTCCGATTTGTTAGTGTAACACGATAATCTTCAATTGAATTATTAACAGCATAGAGAGATAAATCTAAATGATGATATTGAAAGACAAATCCAATGAGAACAATCGTTGAAAAACTTATAACTATTTTGAGAGACCAACTCGATATGGTATCATTATCATTGACTTGAGAAAATGTTATTTCACTTTCAATAATCATAAGAATAATTCCCAAAATACCAAGAAAACACATGATATCAGTCACGAAACAACTAGAATATAAAAGAATATAATAATAAGACAACAAACAAACATATTTCATACAGTTGTTTATGCAAGTTTTTTCGCTTGGTTAGTCGACGACTAATGTTAGATAATAATTTTTTATTGAGAATATTGTGTTTAGTAAGATTTTTAATATGAATTTTTTTGTCGTTGGAAACATTTGAATTCATAGTAGTCGTCGTTGTAGATGGTAATATAACTATGTCCATCGAGTCACTCTGTTTAGTAGCCGATGAGGAATCAGCTTCAATATAATCAATTAATGGTATACAAGTATCGTGAATATTAACCATCTTAAATTTACCTGAATAAATGAATACATATATTAAGACTAGAATGCATAATAATAAACTTATCAATATATGATATGAATATATTTTAAGTCTTTCTTTTTTTTTTTTTTACATAAATTTGCATAGATTTAAAGTGTAATCAGAAATGTATAGTAAAGATGGCTTGTAGAAATATTTTGTTGTATTATGAAAATATTTTATTGCAAAAGAATTAAAATTTTTTGCTTTATAGATTTTTATCATCTTTCATAGGTCGTATTTCATCAAACATCTTTTTGATAGTTTTGTATTTTTGCATTTACATAAATCGAAAGTAAATCATTGAAATTTTCTTTTTAATGAATTTATCTATTATCGAAAATAGAAATACTTTTACTTGAGATCATGATAGTTACATAGATAAGCCCAATAATTGATTACCTTACTTCATATGTAGGCACTTACCTTCTTGTACTTTTATCCATTAATATAAATAAGAGAGATCAGGATCACACAATTATAAGCAAGGAAAAAAAAACATTTCTACACTAATGATATGTTGTAAGATACGATTGATTACAAAGAGAGAAAAAATACGATTATATATGCTGCATATAAATGTGTCTCACCTGTGAAAATGAAAGGGCACACACGAAATTACATGGCTTATTTATATTTTCTTATGTTTCCTATGCATGCTGATAACATAAATTCGTCTAAAACTTTTCGAGTTGACAAAGTTTTATTCTTTAAGTAAAATGAACAATTCAATTTAGTAAATCTATGACTATTGAACGTTATTCATTAAGAGAAAATTTGTACTTTTATTTCTCTCCTATCAAATGAATTTGATTAGAATGTTTCGAAAACAGTTGTCTTACTAGTATGATAAATAAAATTATCGAAACCAACAAATGTAGCACTAGACACAATTAATTATAATATCTTTCTTTGCGAATTCAATTGATCAGCCACTGTGAATTACTGTTTTACAGTCTATATCAAATAACATATCTTTCTTGTCATTATTAAAACTGCAGCTAACAAATAATTATGTGATGATCAATAAAAAAAATATCATTTGAAGTCTCTGATTAAATATCAATACATATTATACGACAAACATTATAGTTTTATATAATAAACTTAGATTTGATTGCTGATTGTAAAAAAAAAAGATATTAGGAATATGATTTACATACATGAGAGAAGAGTACAATAGAATTATTTAGATTACCGTAATTTTATAGTCATAACTTGTTCACATTTGAATTTTTTTTAAAAACTGTATTTAGAAATTTATTTTACTTTATTTAATCTGTCCAATAGATCTTTTATGTCTGTAACAAAACTACTAAATCTTGAAATATCTTTAAATCAATTTAAAATTTTTCTTAATTAATTTTCTATTTTATTAGAATGATTTGACATGTTCTTCTTTACAGTTAATATGTCCTGATTATGACACAGTACAATAGACGTTACTGTTGCTGATATCATACCACATTTGATCAATTATTCTAATCATGAAATCTAACATAGACTTCGTCAGAAAGATTTTATGTTATCCATTGATATCATTATCATATAGGAAAATGTTTGGTGGATCTGAAAATAATTTCACTTAGCACAATTGATTCTATAACTACAAATGAGTTAAATCAATCAACAAATATGTATGTTATCTTAAATAATGATATCTTTATAATTATCAAATTAAACTTTGATTTAATAGAACTATGTGTGATTAAACATTTGTTAGAAATAGGTTTTTTCATTAATATGAATTGTTTGTAAACTAGAGACCGAGACAAGGTGAGGTTAAGTTAAAATCCCCGAACTTTCCTCGTGATAGTTTCACAACATAAATATTCATATATTGATCATGTACTTATCGTAAAGACTTATGATAAGAGTCTCTGTGAAATAAATTATCTACTCAACACTTTGTACAAATATAAAATTTGTTTTTTTGAGGAATGTCAATTGTATCTATTAAACTCGATTCTTATCGTGGAAGATAAATGGATAAAGACTACAACAGAGAAAATCGACGTCTATTGACAGACTATTTTCTCAAATTAGATTTGACCTAAAAATTTGCTTCAGATGCTAAAATAGAGAATTTTATGTAGAATTTATTTATACATTCATTTTTTCAATAAACATTTTCCATTTCTTTGTAACATCGGAATTGCTACATGCCACAACAACATGAAGTCCTCTGGTTGAATTTAACTTGACAAAAACAGTCTGGCAATATCCCTTGTTGCACTCTTAACTAGCGTTCATGTCTTCAATTAAAATTGAAATGACTACTGCCAATAACAATAGTTCAAAAAGTCAAATGCTATTATGCTTTCAGTGTATGTCTGCCGAAAATAATTTCGAACGCAATAGCTGATACTGAAAATGATCCAACAAAAAAAAAAAAAAAACTTTTTTGAACAGGTAGTGTCATCGTTTGATAGAAAATAACAAAGTTAATGGGTGACTGACGACGAGTTATATTCTTTTGGCACTATTCAGAGCTCAAATCGGACTCTGGTTATTGTGTGTTTCGTTGTTTCCGTGACACTAATGCTATGTGTGTTGGCGCCTATTGAGTCAACATCTGTTTTATCTTTTATACCTTGGATCATTCTATAACTGTTCTCTATTCTATATCTTCTTTGCTGCTACTTAATTGATGTTTGAAGGATATCATCTGATCAACTCTAAAGATATAAGCTTCAATTCAAAATAGTTGTTAGAATAAAGTGAATTTTCTAATTCAATCCCAAAGATATACATTTGATTCCTTTATGTTATTTATTTTAAAAATTAAAAAAAAAGTTCAAATTAGTATGAAAACGTAGAGTATTAGTAGTGTTATAAAGAAGAACTAATAAGCTATATAATCAATAAATTATATTTAAACTGTATTCAACAATATATTAAGTGTTTTTTGAATATCGTTTGTTGTATTGTTTATATTCGTGTTCATCTCAATAAGTTTTTCTTCTATTTTATCAATTTTAATTTTCATTGTCTTCAATTGTTCTTTAGTTTCATATGTTTGAGCATGTGTTTTACGTTGTATAGTTAGCAGATCGATAT